TTTTTTTTTTTTTTTTTTTTTTTTTTTTTAACTTTTACACGTTATTTATTTTTCTAATTTATTTGATAAACTTTACAAACTATGAAACGTTCCATGATTTGTAGTTTAATTTATTTTTTTATAAATTGTAGTTTCATTTATTTTGTAGTTTAATTTATGTTGTACAAATTGTAGTTTAATTTATTTTTTATAAGTATCTTATGATATATATTCGCAACATAATCTCCAAATATTTAATGTTTAAGTGGATAAGATTTATGACAAGGCTGGTGGAATTCTCTGATTTAGTTTTTGCTGGTCAAAAATGAAGAAAAAAAATACCTTTATTTGTAGTTGGTGGCTGGATAACCACAAGCAAAAGAGACGTCGAGGTCCAGATTTGTAATCAAAATTTAAGCTTCGGTCCGTTGGGCCAATGACATCATCAGATTGAACTTAAATTTAAACCCATGAATCCAAACTAAATGTTTTCTTTTTTCAGAAAATTAGTCAAACACCATACATTAGACTTTTTATTACACAATTAATATCATCAATCTATAAATTATAGCAATATTAAACAAACTGTACTTTTTATTTGCGGATATGCTACAAAAGTCTTTATATCATATTTCTTTTGAACAAATCACAAAATCATTACCAAAATTTATGGAAGGAAAGAGAATAAGTTTAAAGAAACGGTTCCCGATAAAAAAGTTAATGGAGTATAATGAACTAAATTATCTCTCCCACTAACGCCACATCGTCTACTTCGAAAAATCTGATAGAAACCGCAAAACCCTATTCCTCTCAAGCTGAACAACAATGGCAAAGACCAAATTTGAAAGAAGCCCATCTATCGGAGACGGAAGTTCACCACATCGGAGGTCGAGTTCCCGTCTAAGGGATATGAAATCAAACAGGCACCCAACCCATGTACAAAAGAAATTGCAGTTCGACAAGAAATTAGAGAGATCAGAAAAAAGATATGAAGTCACCGGATTCTGATTTCGAGGATGAAATTCAAGTCGAAGTGAGTGATAGTGAAGAATGTTTGGTCGACGAAGAAGAATACGAGAAATTAATTAAAGATAAATCCAAGAAACAAAAATTCACGGTCCGTCTAGACATAACCCGTGTGCCGATCCGAGAATTCCCGCTGAAGAATTGAACAAAAGTGAAAGCTTTAAGGTAAATCCTCAATGTTTTCCATTTTCATTTTTTCCTTCTTATTATGTCTATAAGTAATACTTGAATGTGTTTCAAGTTTGTACTCATTGTATGCACACCAGTTTTACCCTTTGTATAGTGATATTCAATTTGTTGATTGTCAATTAAATTATCTTTCACAATTTTTTTAATGTCTTTTTCTATTTTCTGTCTGTTGAGAATAAGTTGTATTTGTCAATTAAAATTCTCAATTTTTTTTTTGTTGTCTTTGTCTTATTGCAATTAATTGATTATTATTGTTTGACAATCATCATATTATGTGGTCCCATTGTTGGAAAAAGTCAAATTATGTGGTGTATAGTACTGTAATATATGTACCTGAAAAATCAAATTTATTTCATGGTTTTTTTTTTTTTTTTTTTTTTTTTTTTTTTTTTTTTTTTTTTTTTTTTTTTTTTTTTTCTGCTTAGAGTAATTTTATTGTTAAACAATGTTACAAATATATATACCAGAAAAGAATGTGAATTGTGAGTAATTTTTTTGATTGTGAGTTGGTGGTATATATGAATGCATCAGATCCATGTACTAGTTGCATGCAAATTTGCGGCACTTGATGAAATAATTTACTTCACAAGATTTTGTTATGAAATAAATAATTTTCACTGGTAAATTAGTGAACTTGAACAAGAAAAATAACAATATTGGAATACAAAGAAAATCAGAAAGTTATGAGTACTTCAATTCCTGTAGCTGCTGGTTCGAGGTAGTGTGTACTAAATGTTCACTATAAGTCTAGAAGACAAACATTCAGCATAAGTTTCTTCATAATTATATGAGGATACATTCAGTATATGATATGTATATATATACACATTATGCATTCACTATAAATTATGAGCAGGATGGGAACTACCATTCAGTATATGATATGTATATATTTACACATTATGCATTCACTATAAATTATGAGCAGGAATGGGAACTACCATTCAATACGACGATACATTCAATATATGATATGTATATATTTACACATTATGCATTCAGTATAAACTACATGACATGTATATGGTAACTACCATGATGTAGGAAGTAAAATGTTCCTGTTATTAAAGGCATCTTTATTTTGTAACAGGAATGGGAATTGCTTATACCATATCCGAGGAATCTGAATGTCAAAATTATGAGCAGTAACGATAATAGCAAGGATGGGTTGACCATCAATGAAATTAAAAGAATGCTTACCCCCAGTACAGATCCAGTTGGTCAACCACATACTTTTACGAGAGGTCTATCAGTCTAGGAATGCCGAGATATGGTTTGACTTTGGAGGTAAAATGTTTCGTTTTGGGATAGAGGAGTTTGCCCTCATAACCGGACTTAAGTGTATCGGTTCTTGCAAGAAGCTGAATATCCCAAAAGTCAAGCAAGGCCTCTACGACAAGTATTTTGCTAAGGTTGGGCTAAGTCGTAACTGCATCAGGTGGCAGTTTTTAAAAAGGTCATGGAAGTCCGACGATGACGCTGTGAAATTTGCTAAGCTCCATTTACTAGCAAATTTCCTAATGGGATCGCAGGACTCGCATCGTCTGGACAGATGCTACCTTGACGTTATTGATGGCTCAGACTTTGATGAATACCCGTGCGGTATTGATGTTTTTGAGTTTACATTCCAATATCTGAAGAAGTCCATTCGAAATAGGCAACAGATGCACAACAATGTGAGGACAGATGGTGCAGGTTACCTCTACCGATGTTATGGACTTATAATCGCTCTTCAGATATGGTTCTATGAAATTTGCAACACTGCGTATGGCATAGTATGCACATCACTCGGAGGCCAACCTATACCTAGATTGCTCAAGTGGGAAATACGGGACAGCTACAACCGCCTTTTTATCGAGAGGGTGTTCTCAAATTTGGATTCAAGCAAGGTATGTTTATTACATTACATTATATGTACTCAATACATAGACATGATATATACAAAGCTTGTTCCTATCTTTATGGTAAATAATATTATCTATTTATTTATTTATTTTTTTTTTTGTTCACAGTTTAAAAATGTTTCACCTACCCCGGTGAAGAAGCAGGCTTTGTTGTTAGAACCATTTTTCAACAACAAAAATGAATTCAGTAGGAATGTGACCCAAGCTCATGCTAAATCACAAAATACCAATGACTCGGAAGTAATCAATCGTCTGAATTCAATTTCAAATTGATCTTGAGAACTTGAAGAAACTGTTCTTTGACTTTTCAAACCAGGTTATTGCTGACCTTGAACTCTTCAAGGAGACATTCAATGTAAGTACTATTTAAGGTTAAACATGTATATACTTTGAATTATTATACCGAATATATTACATATATATGCTGAGTATATAAAGTGATACACTTCCCATATATGTTTTTTAATCATTTCTGACAAACCTCTAAATAACAAATTGAATATATAATGTGTATATGTTGAGTATATAAACTGATACTCTGCCTATAAAGTTTTGTTTAACTAACTTCGGATACACTTTCAATATTTATATACTGTCCGGTACACTTTCAACGAACTTTTTTTAACTAATCTACAGAATATATTATATATATATATGTTGAGTATATAAAACTACAACCATAAGTTATTCACTGTGAACTCTCTTATGTTCACATTTTAAATTTTAAAACTCAACTATATATATATATATATATATATATATATATATTGCATATATATATTTTTAATAAAACATAACTACATATGTTTTTTTTTGTTGTGTATATTTCTATTAGGTTGGTGCAAAAAAAATGGAGAAAACATCGACGTGCACAATTCACCGGTAAGATTTATGGTGTTACACAATTGAATATGTTCAGTATATAATCCACACTAATATGTTATCCACTGTGTACATTTTTCTATGTTTACTTTATAGATTTTAAAACTCAACTAGATACATATATATATTGCATTATATAATTTTGATAATCTATAACTATATATGCTTTTTTGGTGTATATATTTGTTTTAGGGTCGTACAAATAAGGATGGAAAAAAAGTCGAAGATAATGTTGATTCATTTGAGAAGGCAAATGATAACATTGATGAGAACGTGAACAACTCACCCGTATGACTTTACTCTTCGAATTAACATTCAAGTTATTAAATAAAAAACATACATTACATATAACCTGTTTCTTATTATATTTTTAACAATATGTTATACATGTTCCAACAATAGAAGTCATTACGCAAATCATCGGAGGTCCGTTCGCAGCCAACGGTCGAGGCTTCAGTAATAAACCCGTTCTTAGTATATAATATGTATATGTTTGATATATATATATATATATATATAGTATATTTACATATATAGTTGACTTTCTATAATTATTCCAATTATCTTCTTTTTTTTATAGGTCGGTATCGAGGCTAGTGCATGTGCAATCATGGAGAAAACAGATTCTATCACACCTCATGGACCAGACAAAGCAGCCGAGGTTTACTAGTATATAATATGTATATAGTATATTCACAAATAGTTGCTGATCTATAGTTATGCCACTTGTCTTTTTTTTTTTTTTTAAAGATTGGTATTGAGGTTAGTGCTGTTGCAATGAAGGAGAACCCGAAATCTATCACGCAACATGTATCAGAAAAAGTACATTCGTTGTATTTTTTTCCAGTATACATTTTAAAACATTCAAATTCAATCGACTATTTTAACCATAATTTTCCTAATTTGTTCGCAATCATTGTTTTTTTTTCTAGGTTGTCAATGAAACTCGTCGAGTCGCATTCAGGACCAAATCAGAAGCCCTCAAAAAGAGTGCACAAGATAGAGTATTTTACTTTCTTTTCATTGGCTCAATTGTTTCATCAATGGTATGATACCAGATCTCTTCCTTTTAATGCACTATTTATTTTTTCTTGTGCAGATCTATCCACCTCAGCTAGATTCTATCAAACGGCATGTATCAGACGGAACATCTGAGGTATATTAGTATATAATATGTATATAGTATATTCACATATATAGTTGACTTTTTATAATTACGCCGAGTGTCTTTTGTTTTTTCCTAGGTCGTTATTGAGGCTAGTGCAGATGCACTTAATGGAAAACCAGAGTCTATCACACTATACAAAGCATCCGAGGTTTATTAGTATATAATGTGTATATACCAAATTTACATACATAGTTGTCTTTCTATATTATGCCAATTGTCTTTTTTTTTTTTTTTT